AAACTTCCACTGATGCGAGGCAATACTCTGGCTGTAAATTCATATATATTGTGTTCCTCATCGAACCTAACGTCACTCTAATCTCAGCTGAATATGACGAGATAGTGGCATTACCTACTCCAGACACCATAAGAGGACTAACCCGGGAACGGAGACTTGGCTTTTTAAAAAGATTGTGGTAACTAAATTAATTTGGGAACGTGGATCTACCACCATTCTACGTGGATACCACTCACCAGCACTTGAACAAATCCAACCCAAGGCAGTACCCAGAAGTACCTGAGAATTCGTGGTAGCATGACACAAAACTGCCCGAGAATTGCCCGCTGTGTTTGTTACTTTAAACTGATAGGGCTCAGTCTTAGCGCCCTTATGTATCATAGCATGGCGACTCTTTTTGCCACAAACGTGGTAACAATCTTTACTTTAGCATTTAGGCAGCGATGAGGTCCCGTACATGAAAAGGACAAACCAGACTTCTTTAGTAGATCATAACGACCATTAACATCTGCATCCAGAAACTGATGGCAGTTTATAATTTTGGAGCTCGATTTACATACTGGGCATTCTAACTTAGATTTCTGATTTTCCTATCTATTGCTGGTTAAAAATGTTTTTCGTTGAACTTTAGGCTGTGAAATCTTGGAAAGCTTGGAACACATTTCTGCGACTCAGAATTGTAACCTAACGAATTTGCAAAATTCTTCAAATGTAGGAACTGTCTCTTCGTCAACGCTAGTCTCAAACATTCTTCCTGTATTATTTCCACAATGTTCAATCTGAGATGCAGTCAAACAAAATAAGCAAGGTTATCGAGTTTAAGATTTTTTAAGGCATTATAATTATCCTCAAATTTGTCCAAAAAATTTCGAAAGTTGGTAAAATTATCGACTGAAAATTATTTAAACCGTATAATTTTGATAAGATGTTAGGCCGCAATGAACCTTTTATTACTATAACGTTTATCCAATTTATCATATGCCAAATTATAATTTTCTGCATTAAACTCAATATAAGAAATGACCTGCGAATCGGATGAACTAAAAGAGACTTGAGATAAGAAAATTTGACTATATCCGTGTAATTTTGATTTTGAATTGAGGGATCAAATAACAATTTAAACGAAGGAAATTGTTCGTATTGTCTAGAAAATTGAGGAATCTGTAGCTTTGGCAATGTTCTACTGGTTCAGACATGCTGGGTTAAGAAGTGGGAGCTATTGCATGCTCAGTTTTATTTAATCTATCGTGAGCATTGTTATCTCATAATAAAGCTCCTCTCCTGCTTAAGAAGGTGCTGCCACCACAATCCTATGCTCTTTTTCTAACGATTCATTTAGTAAAGAAATGTAGTTCAATACTGCTTCAAATTCCTCCACGTATGTATTCTTTCTGAAGCCCTAGCCATAAAAATTACCTTTCTAGCAGGGAGATCATTAATCAAATCTAATGTGGTTTGAATTCTAAGAAATAGCCTTTCTTTTTTATCATTAACAGCCTTAAGTCCCTCTAAAACCTTAGCCGGCGCTATCTTCAAAATGTTTTTTTTCTTTTAACTTTTATTACAATATTTACAGCTGTATTCGTATGAATACATCAAGTAAATGTGTACAGAGAAATATTATCACATGAAACACGCTTGTCGAGAAACTACCCACTGGTAGCACTCTAATAATTTGTCTACATGAGAAGATCACGAGGCCATCTTCTTTTCAGACGCCTCGGAGGGTTATCAGGAATCGAAGAGGAAGCAAGGTTAGAAACAAGAGGATTCGGATGGTTATGAAGTTTATTATGGAAGGATAGGTATCTGGATTTGGCCAAATCGGAAAGATATGGAACATTGAGGTCTTTATGGATTATTTTATTAGTGACAAAGTAAGGAGAATTGAGGATTTTACGAAGGATTTTGGATTGTAAGGATTGGATACGAGAAGAATTCGATGGTTTAGTGGAGCCCCATAGCTCAACTTAGTAAGTCCAAATAGGTCTTATTATAGCCAAGTATATGAGTCTTTTGTAATTAATGGGAAGTTTAGAGCGTTTGTCTAGTAAGTGTTGGAGTAGTCGGAAACTTCGAGCGGTTTCTTGTCGTTTCAGTCTGGTATGAGGATCCCAAGTTAGACGTTTGTCCAAGTGAAGTCCAAGGTATCGGATTTGTTCAACAGGGATAAGTGGGGTATTATTAAAGGATACTGTGGGACATGAGGTCATAGGTTTACGTCGAAGGGTAAAGGTGATTTGATGGGATTTATTAGAATTTATTTTAATCCTCCAGTTTTGATACCATTCTTCAAGGCTTGTGATATGTGATTGAAGAGTTTGGGATGCAATGGTTGGGTCATTATTAACGGATAGGACACATGTATCATCGGCATACGTGGTAATAACAGTGTTAGGATGGGTTGGGATATCAGCTGTATAAACTGTGTAAAGGATAGAACCAAGGATACTACCTTGAGGAACTCCGGCAGATTGAGAAAAGAGAGATGAATAGGTATTATTGTGATTTACTTTGAAGTGCCTATCAGTAAGATAGGAAATGATGATAAGAAAATATGTAGGGGGAAGGAATTTACGGAGTTTGTAAAGCAATCCCGGATGCCAGACTCGATCAAACGCCTGTTCAACGTCGAGAAAAACTCCAGTGCAATTCAAAATGTTAAAAAAAAAATTGATTGCTGAAGGCAATACCAGTTTTCTTTAAAATAAATACAAAGTTCAGCAAATCAGGCCAAAACAAGCAAGGATTAACGAAAAGATTAACGAAAAGATCAACGAAATCACCTAATTCCACCAAGTCACTATGGGTTCTTTCCTGAAACTTCCTAGAATCTTATCTGTAATTTATCAAGAAGAAACGATATAAGATATATATAAAAAAACGAACCAATAAGCAGAATACGAATTTCAACCAGGAAGCAGACGATCTTTACAAAAACCCACATGACCTACTAGGCAATTTTTCTTCTTCACGTACGGCAAAACATCGCTAATGTGGCAAAAGAATAAATAATCGTGTCCGGTTGACCAAAATTGTTTAGGCAACTTTCTACTTTAATAGAAAAAAAGGAAAATAACTCTAATGATTTAAACTTAGGCAACATTCGACATCATTTGGCAATGGACTGAATTCTTGTTGAATTGGTACATAAAAATCTTAGTTGACCTCTGAAGGGCGTCCTCCAGTCCAGTCTTAGATCCTCTCAATTCAAGTGCTTGGCCAAAAGTGGCCGAAACCTGCTCTCTGAGTGAGCGAACCTGGTAGTTTTACTGACCTTGACCTTGGTCTATAATAATGGACTCTAAGAATGTTACGAACCAAAACGATATGACTTAACACAAGCCAAAGAGGTAACCTAACAACAAAAACAAACTCTATTAGAATTAGCAGGAAATTTTGTCTTGTTTATTTGAAAACTATTATTATATACTTAAATTGAAAAATTGTTTTGTTATCACTTCCTTTTCGAAAAAAAAACATGATTTACTTTGAAAAACATAAATTTGAATTTCCTGATTTTTTATGGAAAAATTTAAATCATTGAACCTTTTTAAATATTCCCTTTGCTTATGGAATACCCTGTGTTAGTAATTAATTCTTTTCAAAACTTAGTTGAGAGTAATATTCTAATAATCCATAATTAAATAGGAAAATTTATTTTATATAGGAATAAAACTACCAAAAAATTGTTGTTTTAGTTGGGTTATAATTAGTAAAAGATGATCTTGGGAAAGATACTATAATAAGTATCAGTAGAAAAAGGCTTTTTTAGTCTCGATATATAATTACTTTATTTCAAAATTATTCAAATTTTCGGGAATCTTTTTAAATTTTCGTCTGAAATATTTTTATATATGTTTTTCTGGTGAAAATTTAAATTATATGAAGAATCAGATTATCTCTGAAGCTGCGAAAATTTGGATAAATTTGAAATAAAGTAATTATTTATCGAAACTGAAAAGGCCTTTGTCTATTGTTATAATTAGTTTAAATTTAAAGTAAAATATAACGTTTTCAGTTTTATTTTTAGGAAATAAAAAACCTCTCAAAAATAGTTTAAATTGTAACACCAACAAAAATTATTACAATACGATTTTTAATTCGTTGTCAAATAAATTAGTGTTATTCCAGACACAAACAGAGAATAAGTTTTAGACTATAACAATTAAAATTTAGTCATGATATGATTTTCCCCCCAAAGAAAATTAATTCATAAACTCAATCTCTGGCGAGAAGTTTTGCTTTAGAAACCTTCGATGCTCGTAAACTGTAAGATTAAATTGGTAGTCAAGAACGACTTTGAAAAGCTTAATTAAAAGAAATACACCGACAGATATTTCAAAGTTGAGAATTGAAACTTCGGAAATACTTGGAGTCTTTCAAGCAGGAGCTGCAAATGTATGGAGTGTTGTTCTTCGGGTGTTGAAGCTACTATCTAATCATCAAGGAAAGAGAAAGTAAAATCGACGTTATGTAATTTTTGATGAAGCCACTTTTGAAATGATTTTTGGCAACATCATCGGTATGAAAACGGACATGGCGGAACGTTCTGACTAAATCTATCTTAGTAAATACTGTCTTAACAGCTAACTTACAAAAATAAATCTTACATTTCTGGAATTGGTAGCGGAACGGAATTGGGTAATATCGCCTTTTAATCCCCACATGTACTCCAGATTTCATTATTTTTGCGAACAAGGTAGAGCGCATTCGACCAACAGTTTTTAGATGGTTTGCAAATTCTTAGGTTTGTTATGCGTCGAAATTCCACTTTTCTTATTAGAATTTTCAAAATGCCTTTAAATTATTTATTCAACACAATTATAAAATGTATGTATTTGATTATTCATACAGCGGAAAAGTTCCTTTGCCATTTAATAATATTCAAAATTTTATATTTCCAATGTCTCAATTTTAAGTTTAGGATTGTTTTTTGTAATCATATAATTGTTCTGTTTTAACTAATTTTTTTTTTCGTTCTCTTAGCTCTTTGGATGGAACCTCTTGTGTTTATACTCAGTAAGTGACATTTAGTTAAAAATTTAGGGTTTAGGTATGATTTTAAAGAAATGTGTCTACTTTTCCTATACCAACAATCATCTTTTCATTGATGCCGTATTATAAAAAAAAGAAAAAAAAATTGCGATGAACATGGTCGCAAAGTTTGCTGTATTTTGCAAACAGATTTTTACTGTTGTATATTATTTAATTATGAAAGAAGATTTGTTATTTATGACCAAATCTTGAATACGTTATGACTTATGATGCAGGTTGTGAATTTTCCATTAAAAGGTAACTTGTTTCTAAAAGCTTTAGTTTATTCAACCTTTTCCCCTCCAAAAAATTCCTTTTATATTTAAATAATTTTTTTTTGTTTTTGTTTTGAAGGTGATTTTCGGTTTAGTAAAATGTGTAAAATCGAGGTTTATTATTTAAAGCATTTATTTCAGAATATGTTTATCTTTTTGTTAATTTATTTTGTAAAATCCTACCAGTCCGTAGTAGTTATCTATCATTTAATACTTTCTTTCTGTTCATCATACTATTGGTTGCAGTCAGGTACCAACAGCTGTTAGTTTATATAAGTATCCTTATTTGCTTTTGTTTTCTTATTAATTTTAGTTTTAAAATTCTTCCCCATAATAGTTAGATGTAGGTGTAGCTCCCTTCGTAGTTAGCAGTATTAATGTTCAGGTTATAACTTTAATTTTTAAATGTATTTAATTAATTAATTAGAAAGTAATTAATTTTATCAAGTCACCAAACCTAAATGTCATAACTAATTCTTATATTTTTTAAACCCTTTTATGTTGTTAGTATTGAAACGCGTTTTGTCACACTAAACATTTTTTGAATATCTATCTTGGTAAGGACTTATGTTGAAGCTAAAACATGCTTATGTTCATTGAGTTTTAACATAACTTACTGTTTTTTTTTTTTATTTGAAACATATATTTGATGTCTATGCGTTAAAACTTTGGCTTAGCCTATGATACCCAATTTTATTTAAAGTCGCATTCTGTAATGTCAGAATTCACGTGTATATAGTATGAATAAACCTAATTAGTTTATTTGAGTGAGTAGTTAAATAATCGATTTACCATTATTCTTTCCCTTTTTAGTTTTATAGTTTGGTGTTTTTTGTAATCTGTCATTTTATTGAGAATTTAAATTGATTATTGGTTCCAAACAATGTGATTCTTGATAATTTTCTTATATTTATCCCTCTAGACAGATTGTAATATTTCTCAATAAGTAAGTTAAATTATCTATTTATTCATTTACAATGAATGAAAAGTCATTGTTATTATGGCAGTATTAATATTTATTTATTTTTTGTATTAATCCTCATTAGCTAAAATGATCGAAGTTTTATTTAAATTATTATTATCAATTTACTTCTTATTGATGTGTGTTCTTGTGAAATATATATATTTTTTAATAATGTATTTGTATGAATTTTGGCAAGTTCCTAAGCTCAGCAATGAGCTCATCAATGTGACCGAATCCTACTCTAAACTGGGTGAAATATGTCATCTATGAGCTCACTGCTGAGTCTAGGAACATGTCCTATTTCCAAATTAGCATTCTTTTTGTTTTAGAGTTATTAATTGATCTCCTGTTGCCTTATTTATGCATTTAGTTAATATGAATACTGATTTGGTAATGAAAGAATGAACAGAAAAGTGCGAATAATCATCACATATTGTATAATTTCACTAAATTAATCATATAATTGTGTAATCAGGCTGTCTTGCTGAAACTTCCAGAGTTTTTAAAATGGTGTTAAATGATTACACCCAACCGTCATATTTTTTTTTATTATCTTAGGCTGTAGTTTTAGTTCTGGCTTCACTTAGACAAATGTTTGGAACTCTTAAGGTAAGACAGTATCCACCTCCTAATTCTGCTGCCTGGATGATAAACTCGCACATCGTATAATTTTAATAATTGAGCATTTAATAATTATTGGTACAAGTATTTATATATTTTGCTTTTTACGTCAAAAATCATCTAAAGCTTTGTCAATTTTTAAACTATCTTGAATTAAGACAATGTAATTATTTGCAATTTATATCTGTTGAATAATGATTATTACTGTTTCCATTTCCTGATACATTTTTTTCATGATGTGTCTATGTATGTATATATGTGTGTAATTAATTTCTTTCATTTTAGTAAAGGTTGATTGAAAAATATAATAATATAATCATTCAGATTTATATAGATTACTTTCTTCATTAATGTAGAATAATTTGATCTTAAGTTACATATTTTTAATTTCAATTGAAACTTTTTGAAGCAGCCAAAAAATTGTCTTTTTAAGTTGATTTCTGATAGAAAATCAAATTGATAAACTAATATTAAAACTTGCATGATGATTAATTGATGTGAGGATCGGCTGAAGCACTGAAATCCCAATTAGTCTGCAAAATTTTAATGTAGCTACACTTCACAGTTTTTTTTTATTTTTTATTTCTTACTTTTAAATTTATATTTCATTAGTAAAAAAGTGTAAATTAATAACATGAACTACATATCTTATCACTGTTCCTGAATATTATTTTAAAATCAAATTACTTGAAGAATATTAAAATCTATATTGATAGTGGTTTACTAACAGAAATTATTAAAATATTGTTTGATTAAGTTCTTTGATACACTTTTAATTAATGTATAAGATTTTCATCTTTTGACAATCTTAGATTTACAGTACTGGAAAATAATAATTTATTGTTGAAAAGTTGTTATTAATAAAATTGCTATAAAATTATTCCAATAAAAAAAAATATGCTATGATTGAAATCTCAGAATTTTTGTATTAAAAATGAATGTTTATTGTACTAAATACTACCAGGAGCAATACTTGATTAAAATGGTTATTAATATTTTACTGTGTTCTCAGATAAAATTGTTTATACTTCTCATAAATCATTGAACTGTCTTTGACCTCTTCAAATATAATTAAACTGAATTTAACCTCAAAATATTCTAATCATTCAGTGAATTGCTCCATTATTTTTAAAGCCTCAAAAAATATTTCAAGTATCACTTGACATTCCTGAAATAATTGTATTTATTATAACCGAGAGATAGTTAAGATATGCGAGACAGTAAATCATTCGTATATAAGTGCATATTTTTAATCCTTCAAAGGAATATGGTGGTGTTCTAAAATTTACACTAATTAGTTATGTAGAGGTAATGTTATTTGACCTTATGAGCTGTAAAAAATATAGTCACTCAGTGAGACAGCTGATATATATTCCAACCCCTCCCTCCCATTCTGCACCCCAATCCAGTTGACGACCTAGAATTGGCCATCATTAGTTTATCATCTGTCACTACTTTAATTGGTGAGTAGTGTACTAGGTGCAAATGTGTACTTCTTTGTTTATTACTCAGGCTTATCTAATGCAGAGGCTTGTGCCTTGACCTTTCAGGAATTTTAACTTAAGGCTGATTCAAAATTGTAGTCATTATTAGGGTCTTTCAGGCTTTTATCTAATCAAGTTGACTTCTCTAGAATCGGCAATCATTAGCTTATTATCTATCCCTACCTTAATTAGTAAGTGGTTGAAATTAGGGGCTTTCACACTTGTACTCAATATACTGAATAACTATTCTACTTTATAATTTATATTAAAAATATTCCTCCACAATTCTTCTTTTTTTTTTTTTCTTAACTACTAAAACTAAAACTGTCTGTTTATTAGAACTATATATTCTTGTGATGTGGAGATGATTGACCGTAATTACAATTTGAGAAGGAATTGGTTAAGGGGTGCGGTCAAGTATAATAATATACATTAAAATAACATTTTATAAGATACACCGACATTTCAACCTATGTAGTAGGTCTTCATCAGGGCTACGAAAGATACAAATCATAAATATAAATAGGTACCAAGTAAAAAACTAAAATAAATTAATTATTAGATATTAAACAAGTACAAGTTGTCTGATAAAGAAATTATAGAATTTATAAGATGACATTAGTGATGTAGTGGGAGTTAGTATATTTAGTATACAAAGTATTTTATATATATAATTAGATGGAGATGGAGCAGGCTTGTTAAGGCGGCAAAAGATCTACATGGTCTGTAATGCCAACAGAAAAAAATATATATACATATACAGGGTGTCCCGTAAGTAGAAGGAAATTTTTATAGCAGTGATAGACCTCAAGAGCTACAAAAAAAGTTCACATAAACAAAATAATTTTCAGCAGTAAAGTAGCAAATCCAAGTTTTGTGTTTTTTTAAGTGAGTCATGTTTTGTATTGAATCGAAAGCAATAACTAAAGAAATATTTAATTTGAATAACTAATAGTTGCTTCATTATGAACAAGATGAAATTAAATTTAAATGAACATTGAGTTTATCATTGTTAAAACCATTTACAGATGACTTTTGAGCTGTTGAACTAATCTAAGTTCTGTTTTTAAAAAAAATCATGAATTATTCGCGACTTTTTTTTTATCAACATCCAACACTATGCTACCGTTATCCCACTTTTACAAAATCAGTATTTTTCTAATTAATTTTTTTAAATAAATAATATGTGTGTTTAGGCAATTGGGTTTATTAAAATACATCCCATATCAAGGAAAAACAAGAAATAAAAGCTTTGCAACAATTAATTGTAGTAATTTTTGCTGAAAACAGGAGTACTTTTACTTGAAAGGATAAAAAATATTATTTTTTTACAAAACTTAAGCTGAATCTCAAATTTTTCCCTAGTAAACCTCAACTTAATTAATACAAACTTAAAGCTTATTAAACAAAGAAGTTTTTGTAATAGTGGGGAAACTGTAGTATAGTTGGATGATGATAAAAAAAAAAGACGAATAATTTCTGATTTTTCTAAAAACAGAACTTGCTTAGTCTAGCCGCTTAAAAGTCATAAATGGTTTTAAGAACAATAAACTATGTTCGTTTAAAGTAAATTTCATCTTGTTTACAATGCTGTCATTATTAATTACTTAAATTAAATATTTCTTTAGTTATTGCTTTTGATTCAATAAAAAACATGACTTGCTTAAAAAACCACAAACTTTAATTTGCTACTTTTCTGCTGAAAACTGGTCCATTGTTTATAGCTCTTGAGGTCTAATATCAATTCTATAAAAAAATTCCTCTATTTACGGGATATCCTGTATATATAAAGGGTGTCCCATAAGTAGAGGGAAATATTTAAAAGGTTGATAGTAGACATCAAGATCTACAAAAAGGTTTATATAAACAATTGCCCAATTTCCTGCAGAAAAGTAGGAAATTTAAGATTTGTGT